AAAGACAGAATTTGCCACACCACATGGACAGGAGGCACTGTCACGTCACACTCTGTCCATGCTACTCTCAGCAGTTTGACTGCTTTTTTCCTTCAGAAGCCAAGAAAATACGACTTTCATTTCAAGATTCATCTGTCACCTTCTCTAGGAAGTTCTCCACGACTCCGTGTAGAACTAACCACACCCCTCTTTTGTGCTGATGCACATTAGTTGAACTTTACTTAAGCACCCAAAATACATCACTTTATTGACTTTACAAAACGTCGAAGACCCCCCCTTTCAAAACAGGCTCACAGTTTTTAGACCTGCTGCCTCATATGCATACCCTGAATAAATATGGACGGGAGATTTTAAGCATTCACTGGACCACAACTTGGTAGGGATGCTCTTTAAAATATTCACCTATTTGACCAATAAACTGGAGGGTCTGGAAAGGCCTTCTGGTGCGCTAATTCTAGAATTCTGCTTACTACAGGTTAACTTTTCAGTACTTGGCAGGATTCGCTTTTCTGAACTAATTTACACCGATTTATTCTCTTTGGCTCATAAGACCAATTTACGACTCCTACATTCTTAGGCCTCTAGTAACTTCGGCTCAAGCAGGGGCCTCAGGACCACGATACACTTGCAAGCCCACCCCGCCTCCTCAGCGGCCTCTCGGCCTCACGCCCTTCCCCAGCAGCGCGCAGGTGGCTCCAGCTCCGCTCACCGTCTGGCCGAAACTCGAACTCCAGAAACTCGTGTCCAAACTTGCCCTTGTGCCCTACGTAGTAGCGCAGGTAGAAATCACTGGCCATAGCCATTTTTACCGCAGGAAAAGCCCGCGGAGGCCCGGCCAACGTGCCGCCGGCGCTCGGCAGTGACGTCAGTCGCCCGGGTAAGTGCGTCACTGCCGCGCGCCCTGTCGCCTCTGGGCGCGGGGGGAAGCCAGTAGATGGCGTCGCGGGGCCCTGGCGGCCACGCCAACTTCACTTTACTAGGGTCGGGAACGATTACTTTTAAAGTTAAGTGGATTATGCAATAGTAGCAAAGCACAGCAAAATGAAATCTAGTAGCGTGTTTATGGGCTTAGAACTAAGATTGGCCCGTAGCTATTACAATAGTGATTTTAAGTCTCGCGATATCTAAGGAGTGGGTGTGATTTTTTTTTTTGGTTTTTTGTGGGTTTTTTTTTTTTTTTTTTTACAGTGTAACTGGTGGTTGAGTTACAATGAAGCGCTGCATTAGGGATAGAACTGGAATACCACCCTTCTTTCCAGCTAGATTCCTAACATGTGGTTTTCTTCTTTGGCCCGTGATTGTGAGTTAGGCAGAGGCTGCAAACGTATAGCAAAGGAGTCGAAGTAGAAAGAATACATCAAACAAGAAGTCAAGTTTACATGGTATTTTGAAACTGAAAATCCCTGACAGTCATGGTATGAATGAATTCCTTTAAAAAAAAAAAAAAAACTTGTAAGATGCTTCATTCATTCAGTAAGGGTTAACCTTTAGTGGCCTATAGAATTTTGGAAATTTGCCTTAAATGTTTACCCCATACTTCTTATCAGATAAAATTAAATTAGGGCAGTGAAACACAGTCTGTTTTTCAAATAATATTGATCATCTTTTTTTTAACTAACACAGAGCAATCCTGTCTATTAAATGGCCTTAAACCTATGGAATTTAGTAGAAAAAGCTTATCTCTGCTTAACCTTAGTCGAATCACTCTCTCTAAGCTTGTGTATCAACCAAATGAATATACTACCATGAACTTTGCCAAGCTCGCAGAATTGTTGAGATCAAATGAGAAAATGTGTGTAAAATAAGCTTTGTTATTTATGAAATTTGTGTTTTAACAAGCACTTCCTGTATTCCAGAAATGGTTGACACCAGTAATAAAAAGATGGAACTCTTAGCTTTGGCTCAAGTTTGCAAAGATAGCAAACATATACACAAATATTAACACAAGGGCTCAATTCCTGTAAGAAAGAATTTATTTTAGTGTTGATAGTACAGAAGAGGAAGCAATTACTTTACTGGAGAATAGGCAATGTTGATTAAAAGGAATTTCAGAGGAGGCTTGTAATAAGATGTTCTGTTTGAATTGGACCTTGTGGATAAGTTAAGCATGTGTTGGGAGGGATGGAAAAGCATTTCAGGCAAAAAATAGCCCAAGCAAAGGCAGTGTGAAAATGTATGATTTGGGCAAGTCAAATTCAGAGTAGGTAGAACATAAAGTTCATAGAAGTGAAATGACAGGGACTTTGGTTAGACTGGGCTAGGTTATGTTGAGTCTACATTAGCAACTGTGTATCTATCGGTACAGAAATCTAAATGAACAGTTATATGCATAACTAGTAATATAAAAATTATTCAGCCCTTGCTCTATACTGCCATTATAAAAACACGTAAGAAGTCTACCACTGGGGTAACTAGCTATTCCAGTTTGCCCAGGATTGAAAAGTTTCCCAGGATGTGGGACTGTCAGATTTAAAACCTGCAGAGTTCCACACAAACTGGGTTAAGTTGATTACTGTACTTCAAAAATAACTCACAATAACTTGGCCACAGTATTTCATACCTTTGAAAATACAAGCAGTAATCTGTTTGTTTGGTTTAGTTTTCGTATGAAGCCTCATTCAAAATCTTTAGAGTTCCTAATGCATTTCCTTCAGATCTTGGCACATTCACCATTGCTCATCTTCGTGCCTACCTAAGCAAAGCTAAAGATACCACAACTGTGACAGTGTCAACAAAACTTTGGATGCACGATGTTCAGATCTTTATCTGTAAGCCAATTGCTGTCTTTATCCCCTAAAGAGACTTCTAAGCTTAAGGCTAATCCTCCCTAGCATATTTTTAAGATGAAATATGAAAATATATTTACTTAATCCTTCATAAATTTAGACTCCCAAAAATACCAAAATGTCTATGTCTTGTATCACAGTAAGAATGGCAAAGGGATGAAGTATTGGTGCTTTGTACTCTTCAAGAGATGTGGAAATATTCTGAATGTTTTATGTGTAAATATTATCTAATTTGCATGAATTTAGATGAATATTTAAATAGTTGCATTAGCTGTAGGCTACCATGTTATACAGTGAAGCTATTTATTTGAGAGCCATTTCATACACTTTTGCTTAGGGTGGAAAATAGTGAAGAGAGAGAAGAGGTAACACTACTTTACATTATTGTTAGGGCTCTAGAGATATAGAATCTCCTCCTTCAGGTGTTGTTACCACACCACACCCACCACCAAACACCTATAGTTCTCCACCAGAGTCCATTGTGCACCTCCTAACTTTGTTTTTGCCCTTCCCCCAACCCCATTGGTAGCCTTAGTCTACCTTCAGAGTCAGATTTCTGGGTTTGTTATTATTGGTTTTACCTAACTCTTTGTTTTATTTCTCTATATTCCACATATAAGTGACACCTTCCAGTATTTGTCTCTGTGGCTAATAATAACAAAATACCTAACTATAGTATGAAAAATGCCTGAGCATAATTTGAGAACTACTGGTTCAGACTATTCTAAGTTAAACTGCATTAAATGTCATTTAGAACTGTACCCAGAAGGGTGTATGCTCTGTTCCTAGCTATATTGGAAAGATTTTCAACAATAAAGCATTGAATGAAAAACAAGTTTGGGAGAGGAGACAAAACAATAAAACAAGACCTAATCTGGATTCAACTTGACTAAATTGTGAATTTTTTTCCCATTCATTAGCTTGGAAATGCTTGATTTGACTTATAGATCAAAGGTGCCAGAAATATAATCCCCCTTTTGGAAAAAGCCTGGCCAAGTAAGGGAAAGACCCAGTTTCCTTAAACATAACTATATACAGAAATACAACAAAATATGTGTAGACGTTGAAAATAGCAATTGTCTGCTTCTTTCCCTCCTACTGAAACATATCTTAAAATACTATATGAAGGAAAAATGCTTCATTTCATATGTGCCTCCCATTTCATTGTGCTTCCACTGCATTGCCTCCTTGCAGTTGTTCAGACAACCATACTTTTGTCTTGCTTCTGAGTTTTTACATAGTCATCCAGGAAGACTCCACTCACTGTATCTTTGACCTGACCATCCCTAAGGTCTCAGTTTAAATGTCATCTCTTCATGGATGTCCTCATTTTATGTTCCCTTCAACTAAAACCACTACTATGATGTTTCTTCATATCACCTACCACAATTTGTAGTTAACAAATTCCCACACATATCTGTATATAAAGTGTCAATTTCTAGACTTAATCAAAAGCTGTTGCTTTTATCTGATATCTAGCACACTATCTGGCACAGCAGATGTTACCAGTCAATTCTTCAAAATATTTGAATAAACAATATATATTTTCAGTTCTTTTTTTTTTCTTTCAGATTTATTTATGCATATAAGAACTGGGGTGTAGGCCAGAGGTGCAGGGATTGAGAAGATTCACCAGAGACAGTGTGGGGAGCAGAACAGGTGGATCTACTGAAATACACTGCTGAGGGGAGAAAAGGGGAGACATATGCTGTGCCATGTGAGTCAGCTCCCTGGCCGGGGATCGAACTTATGCTGCAGTGATAACTTGATAGCACTAAGACTTTAACCCCTATGCCACCAGGCAGGCCCCTGAATAAACAATATTTTCTAAATTTGACTTAAACAGCTGAGAAGCAACAATGGAATCCTTAGGACTTTTATCACTTTGTGCCAAGTTGCTTTGCCTCCTTTGCTACTGCCACCTACCATCCATTTAAATCCTAACTAGCCTCATGGTATTTCCACAGGTGCAAGAATCATTCTTCTGTTGGATGATGCATCATCACTCCATCAGAATTCTAACTTCTACAGAATTTTCTACCACAAGTCAACTTGCCTGCAGCAGCCTTATACAGAGTAGCCAGAGTGAGTGTTCTTAAAAATCAGTCACCACATTTAACTGAATTATCATTGTGATATGCTATAATGTTTTGAAATAGTAGGGGGTTACTATTGTCATCCAGAAACTCACACAAAAATAGTGACTTCATCGTGTTAGTCACGTGACACTTGAACCGCACCATCATCTCGGGCATATCCTGCTCTGTATTGTGACTGACAGCAGAAGTTCTCTTCTTGGCACAGTAGATATTAAATAAAAAAGATAGGAAAGATTCTAGGGTAGGATGGGCACATATGGTGTGCAGGATCCTATACAAATACCCTCTCATTCAGTCCTCACAACGAGCCTGTTAGGTGGGGCCTACCCCTATTTTACATGCAAGAAATCCCTTTTTCTGACAAAGCAGATTATCTCTTGAGTTTTTCTACTGGTGGTAACTTCCATTTATTTATTTTTACTCTCTGTATTGTATCTTGGCAACTGTTACCAGAAATGCCTACTTTAACTCAATGAAATAAGTTTCACAGTACATCGATGGATAGCTGGAAATTGGAAGCTACCATCATTTCAGCTTAGATTCCATCCTTTCTGGACCTTTTTAAAGGCTTGGTCTCTTCTCGCTTGCACTCCACATTTCCTATTTATAAGATACACACAGTTTCATCACCAATCTAACCAACCATCCAGGTTCAAAGTCCTTAGTCTTACAGAGCGGGGAGCTAGCCTGACGAACAGTACATGTTGAGTATTTCCCATCATGAAATGACCAGCACAGCTTCTAGTTGAAAGTAGTGCCAGCATAGTTTACCTGTCTCGGATTTTGATAAAAGATTACCTGTTCCTAGGGGAACCCTATCCTTTTCCCTCACTGTTCTCCTCCAGCCCTGTATGCAGGGGCCAGGACTGCAGAACTTCACATCTTTCCTCTCCCTTTTCTCTGAAGGATGACCTCAGTCACATCTGCACTCCTGAGATTAGGGCTTTTAATTTTCTTTCTCTTCAACCCTTTTCTTGGCTTTCTATTCCTTCATTTGATTCTAATTCCTCTGAACCTAGCAATAGCCTAGATAAAAGCGTATTTCAGGAGGAAACTAGCCTACAGTGTAGAAGGTCCAGCTTATCTATGCCATGCCCTGACAAACACTGCAGAATTCTAAAACATCCTCGGAAGTGACACTGTCCACAACTCCCACCCAAGGCCTTTAGGGTTGGGACAGCAGAAATGAAACTCTTCCTCAGCTTGAGGATATCTGGTATGTGGCATCATTGCAGGTTTCTAGGGAAATGTGCGGTAGAGGATCAGGATCTGTGTCCCATTTCTCCCTTTATGTCTCACTAGAAAGTCTATTCTCCATTCTTGGAGGAATTGGTTCCAGCAGTAGATGATTCCCCACAAATGTGTCTAGCCCAGATGTTCAGAGGGCACTGCAGCTGTAGGAGAGGTTCTCTATGCTGACACCTGCCACAGCCGCGTATACTTCTGGCACCACCAGCTCTGGGACTTGCAGCACAGCCTTGTCATTTGCTGTTCGAGCGACGGTTTCTAGGCGCATGCATAGCTCCTTCAGTGAAGGGCGGCTGTCCTCACTCCAGCGCCAGCAGGATTTCATAAGGCCATACCTGAAAGTAAACCAAAGAAAATGAATTCCTTGGCCAGGCAAATGTATGGGGAGCTTCAGCAAAAACCCTGCACTTTTCTCATCTACTTCTCACTTGCCCTCTCTCATGTTATTTCCAGAGAATGATATTCTTTCTCATTTTCTTAATACTAAGTCTTTTATGGTCATCTTTTCCACAGGGTGCCTTGTGTATTAGGAATGACTGAATATTTCTCAAACCACAACCATTATGTCAGAACAGTTTTTTCTTTTTCTTCTATTGCCAGACACTCTTTCAGAAGTTAAGTGTCCTCACTTCTGGATGTTACTAACTTATAACATTCCAGACCATTGCTATAATTTATCTACTAGTAAAATAAATAATATATATAATTTAACATAATTTGCTTGATACAATTGTTTATTGTACAGAAATTTACCCTTTCAATGCTGAAAAATTTACACCACCACAATAATTTTCTTTCACTTTATAGTTTTTATTTTTATTTTATTTTTTAAAAGATTTATTTTATTTATTTTACAAGCACAGGGTACAGTCAGAAGTGCGGGAGGGTGAGCGAATTCACCAGAGCCAGAGCGGAGAGCAGAGCAGGCAGAAGGACTGAGGTACACTGCTGAGGGGAGCAGCGGGTGGCAGGAGAGGTATGTGCGCCATGTGGGACCCTCCTCTGGTGGCCGGGGAGCAGCCAGGGATGGAACAGGTGCTGCAGAGGCTGCAGGCAGCTTCGCAACCCAGCGCTCAACCGCTGCGCCACCTGGGAGGCCCTTTATTTTTATTTTAGAATACCACAATAATTTTAATAGAAATATATGTTCGTATTTTCTCTCCTGCCTCCTTATACTCTAACCTTTTCTTATGTTCTATAGCAATACTTTTTGTACTTTATTGATTATGAAATCTGTGTATAATTTTTAATTGTTCCATTTTACTACAACATTGGTTTACAACTGTCTCTATGTGCTGGCAATATTAGGTATTCTGTCTTCCTAATTTCTTCTTACCCTTTTTCTTCTGGTTGACTTCTAAAATGTGCAGAGCTGGGCAACAGTCAATATTTTTTTAAGTTAAATATTAATAACAGACAGTAAGTAACTCCAGTGCAATGGATTTTATGGCAGCTATATTAGAACTGAAGCCAGAAGACTGACATTTAGAAAAAACACTACTGCACTTGCACTGGATTTGGTTTGCTTCTTACCTACTTCAGAGTCTCCCAGATAGCTAAATTTATCAAACTTAGATTCCTAATGTAGTTTTTATTAGATGGGTGTGAACACAGATATACACATACCTATATATGTGTGTGTGTGTGTGTGAGATATATGTCTGTACATACACACACACACATATATATAGGTTTGTTTGGTCCATATCTGTATACCAGCACAGATATATGGCACTTCGAAAAGGGCATAATTGGTGGGGAGCAAAAAAAATTTGGAATGAGAGAAGAGTAGGTCTTTAGAAGCCACTTACATGTTGTGTGTGCAACTACTGGGTCTCTTCATGATTTTCCTTCTTTGGAGATGCTGTAAGATGCTGGTAGGAGGAACTTCCGGATATGGTGGTGCCCCTGTTCATATGGAAAAAAGGAGAGTAGCAAGAGAGTATTAGGGAAACTCTGGAACCTGAACTGGAACTAACGCTACTCTCCATCCTCCTGGGCTGACAGCCTGCAGAGGAGCTAGCCCAGGAAAGATTTCTAGATGCAGTATAGTTGCTCCCTGGTGGTCAAGTAGAGAATTTTGGCAAAGAGATGACTATTTAGAAAAAAACTGATCACTGAGGAGAGTGCTGAGTCTTTAGTAAAATAACAAAATAAGCAAAGTGATAAATAATACCTGCCCTCCACTCTCCAAATAGGAAAGTGATGCAGTTAGTCAGCCAAGTGGACCAGTAAGTCTAAAGATAACATTTTTGTTTATTCAAGGTCACTCTTGGAACTATCATTTGGACTCTTAAAACATCCCAAGAAGGGAGGCAGGAAAGAAGGATGGAAGGGAGAAAGATGAAGGAGGAGAGAGAAGAAGGGTACAGGGATGGAAGGAAATCACATTACAAAACTTTTTTGGAAATCAGGTTTGGATTCTATGTCAATCCAGTACTTTTAAGATTGCACTTGAGACCCCTTTTGATAGCATGTCATTTACCACCCAGATAAACACACTTGCTTATTTACATACAGATACACTCTACATGGGGATTTCTCTTACCTAGAGTCACCATCTCATACAGCAGTATCCCAAATGACCAGCTATAAAAGAAACAAAGCCATTTACTGAATTCTTTTTTCTGCCTTTCCTAAAGAAAGCTCACTTTAATATAAGAGGCCCACGAAGAAGGCAGGGAAGGGGATCTGAAGGTGTCTGATAAAATGAGCAAAATAATAATACCATTAGAAAGGACTTCTCTCCAAACCCCTTTTCAAAGTGTCTATTTCGGTTGAGGAATGGATTTCAATCTCCTATCTTATATATCTCACATGAATAGATTTTTCTGTTATTTGTGAAATTGTGTGTGTGTTTGTGCAAACACATTCACCCAAACCAAAAAAAAAAAAAAAAAATGCCCCTCTGCATCTTTTTCATCATTTCTATCTATTCATTCCTTCCTGCTGAAATTCCAGTCTATATTTTTAGCACAAGGCCAATGGAAGTTTGTTATGTATCTTATGTTCCCTCCATTGATCTTATTGACCAAATCCAGGACAGTGTTAAAATAGCATGCTTTATACCTAATTGGAACCAGTATTTTCCTAAATAATATAATTTGAGAGAGAGATATTTCACTTCTAAAGTGTCATCATTAAATGAGCGCTATTTCCCAGTTAAGCCTTTTACTCCCAGATCTCCACTGATAAGCTATGGAAGTCTCTTAATTGACTCAGCATATTAACTGGCTTTCTAAACTTCCTCTGCTGCTCATGACTTCTATGGATAGTGAGAAATTCCATGTTGTATCAATGTTCCTCTCCAAGCAGCTGAGTTTTATGGCTACCAAAAGTCAATTGCAATGCTTTACAATCCTTTTTATGCCAATCATTGTGTGACTGTCACTATGTAATCAGTTAAATATTATGTTAGCTGATTAATAAACACACAAAAAGGTGTTAACTCCCTGAACACTAGGTTGAATGCTCTGAAAACATAAAAATAAACCACCACAAAGAAAGTGTTGTCAAATTTTCTGGGTGAGACAACTGTAGAAAATTGGAAAAAATAAAAACAAAAATCTGCAGGCAAACTGAAGCATCACAATTACTTTCAAGTTTCACTCTACCTAGAATCATCCCAAACTGAATCTCAAAATAATTCATCATGATACTGTTTATCCAAGAGATACAAAAGGGACCCTACCATTTTAAGTCATCAGATAATGGGTTGAATAATCTTTTTCTTGTTTTTCTCTCCTAAGATTGTTAATCTAATACAGAAGGAATACTTCAAAATACACTAAAAAGTATTACAGCCAGAAGGCAGATATGAACTTTGTCACACAGCACACATTTCCGCTTGTGAGTCTGTCTGACTTTCTAAGTAGAGGTTTCACTTGTAGACATGATGGACAACAGATCCCATCATATTCAGGAACTGGAGGACCCCTAAAAATATACAGGGCATGAACAAACCCACATGTCTGCTTTGATGCCAGCTGGTCTCAGCATAAGCCGTTCTGGGGAGAGCCACTTGAGTGGTATGGTGCGAGCAGAGGAGATGGCTCCATGGGCATGAACTTCATAAGCCAGGCCCAATCCACAGAGCTTAGCAGTAAGATCACACTGGATCAGGATGTTCCTGGCTGCCACATCTCCATGGAACAGGTGCTTATCCTGGAGAAATTCCTATCAACATAAGATCAAGATGGATCAGCTGTCTGAAGTGACAGTTTGGGTCACCGACCAGAAGAAGCAGTCTTAGCAATACTGAAAAAGACAGGGAATTTTCCTACCCTGAACAAGTCTCATTAATAATGACATATCATCTCCAAGTCATGATGATGAGTCAGACATGTTTGCACTGTGTTCAGGACTATCAAACTGAGCAAATAATCCAAATAAGATTAATTCTGTGTTTGGAAAGTATAATCACCTACTCTGTGTTAATCCCTCACTCCTGCCTGATTTTACACCCCTCCCAGATAGGAGCCAGCTGAACTCTGGAAAAGGGGATAAATTTTAAGTTTCAAGCAACTGTCCCCAGAACAAGGTGAAATATGCATAGCAAAATTGAGTGTCACAGTAATGAATTTATATAAAGATTTTCTATCATCTCATTTTATCCCTAAAATAAGTAGATGAGGTGAATTAAGGAGTAACTTTTAGATAAACAGAAATGATTATCAATAAGGCCACCCAGTTATTACGTGGTACCAGATATTCTAATTTATAAGAACTACTACAAATTCTGCTAATTATTCTCAAGCCAGAGCTTTTAAAAAACACAAGATTTTTCACCCCAGATTTACCTAACCAAAATCTAGGAAGAGGGACCTAGTAATCTATATTTGTAAGAAATAGCAAAATGATCCTAGCACAGTCAACAGGCATTGGCCAACAACGGAGGACACTGAGCTGCCAGAGTGATTCCCACCAACACCAAGCCATGCAAGGCATATGAAAAAGCTGGAAAAGATATGTGTGGCTAAAGAGCTGGAGATTACCAAACAAGAATGAATGCTTTAAAAAAAAATAATAAAAGGTTATGGTAGAATTTCCAATCCATGGGGAGAAAGGAAACAGGGAGACTTTAGAACAAAAAAGTATACTGTCATCAGAATTTTAAAGGAGCTGACTTTGAAATTGTTAAAAGTCAGGGAAGAAAATAGTATTCTATTGCCTTGAAACTGGTAACCAAAGACCCTGATGAAGGCATCCACGTGATACTGCACCCCTTTGGGGCACTTCTGCTGTTATGTTTCAGAATGCAGGGGAGGCTGCATCCTGACACCCTAACTTTATCAGATGAGCATATAATGACGCCTCCAACCCCCACAGATTGCACTCGCTCATGTATGGTGCTCACATTCACCCCACAGAATTTCGCCTGTACCTACTGGCCTCCTCTCATCCCCCTAAGGTCTTTTCCCTAAATCCCCTGATTTCATTTAGAACCTGGTAAATTTCACATCTTGAGGTGGCAAGATAAATCAAATACTGAGGCTACCAGAGTAGAAGGAGAGAAAAAAGCAGGGAGGGAGCACGGTGGCCTGTGGTAGAGGACTAGGGATGTTTTGTTGGTGGGTGTGATGTGGTAACAACATATGAAAGAGGTAATCTTTTATCTCTAAATCATATACAGCTTTGAAAACCAATGTTACCTCAATTAAAAAAAAATACATGAAATACTTAAAATAGTATCTTCACAGAGCCCAGATTCTTCTATAGCATATACTTATGTAAAACACAATTATCTAAATAATTTCATAGAATACTCCTTTAAATTTCCTTAGTAATTCTGGTAGAGATAAACTTTTTTCTTAACCTCTGAGTTCTTTCTTTTAATCCTCTATTTAAGTTGGTATAAAATAAACCAACTTGTGTGGTCCCTTCTCATTCCTCCTGCTTGCTCTTTGTTCTTTTTAAAGTTTACATGTTTCCTGTCACATTCAGTATCAAAGCAAAACTCTAACCAAATATGTTCTGAACTAGTTTTTCTTGTTATCTCAGACATAAAATTGTATACTGTCTGGCTTGTTACCTTTCACCCATTCAGTTTCTCTTCCCATAACTTCTCTCAACTTGCTTCCCAATTTGCCCCTTTTACATCTGTTAGTATTTATGAGAAAGTAACAGTATCAAGGAAATGGACATATAGCTCTTGGTGTTTGATCTTTAAGACAGAGAAACTTTTTTTTTTTTTTAAAGATTTATTTATTTATTTATACAAGCTCTGGGTACAGTCAGAACTGCGGGAGGGTGAGAGAATTCACCAGAGCCAGGGCAGGGAGCAGAACAGTCAGAAGGACGGAAAACACTGCTGAGGGGAGCAGCGGGCAGCAGGAGAGTTCTGCGTGCCATGTGGGACCCTCGCCAGTGGCTGGGGATCGAACCGGCGCTGCAGAGGCTGTGGGCAGCTTCACAGCCCAGGCTCAACCTCCTACCAGGGGAGGCCCAAGACAGAAAAACTTTAGAATCCTTCCTGTTCCTTCTAAAAACCCTAGGTTGACCATTTTCGGTATACAACTACCATCATCTAAATAATTTCATTAAGAAGGAACTTAAAACAATTTATTAATGCATGAATTTCTACCTCCTAACTAACATCTGATTTCTTTTACAATATATACACCATTTGAAAATATAAATATGAGAAATATGATATCAAACATCAGGCTAACAAGAAAAATCCCTTGTATCTTTTGTCATTTGCCCACTCTTACCAGAGCCAAAAGGACCTGCTTCCCAATGTGATATATTTGTTTTTCTGTGAGATCATAAAGAAGGCCATCCATCGTCATCACATCCTAAAGTGACAGAGAAAAAAGCATTATATCAAAGTAACATGAGCAGCTTACTTTTTTAAAAAGAGGAGGCAGAGATAGTCCTAATATTCTATTTATTTTTTAAAGATTTATTTTTTATTCACTTATGCATAGCAGAACTGGAGTGTAGGCCAGAGGTGCTGGGGTGAGAGGATTCACCAGAGACAAGAGTGGGGAGCAGAACAGGCAGATCTACTGAAATACACTGCTGAGGGGAGCAGCAGGTGAGACAGGAGAGGTCTGCTGCGCCATGTGGGTTAGCTCCCTGGCCGGGGACCAAACTCATGCTGCAGTGACTGGTGATAGATAGCTTGATAGCACTGAGACTTTAACCCCTGAGCCACCAGGGAGGCCCTATTCTTAATTTTTTTTATTATGATTTAGAGGTATATGTTCATACTTCTTCAGATGTATGTTATCATACCATACCCACCAGAGTACCCATAGTCCTCCACCATAGTCCAGTTGGGCTCCCTCCCACACTTTGCTCTCCACCCTCAGTTTTACCATCAGATAGCCTCAGTTTTACAATCAGATATCTAGGGTTTGTTTTGGTTTGGTTTTGTCTGACCCTTTGCTTTTTTCTCCATAGTCCACATATGAGTGAAACTGTCTGGTAGAGATAATCTTAAATGCAGATATCATAACTAAGGAAAAGATAAAAACATAGGGACTAAAAGTCATGGAGAGACTGATATGAGATTCTCAGATATGATTTATTGGACAAGAAAAGCAGTAAATAATGTAGTTGAATAGCAGATGAAGACAGAGCAGAATAGCAGGTAAGAAAAGCAAGCATAGGTAAGACTATTGCAGGGTAAATGAAGATTGCTCAGGCCTTTGCACCGCTGGCCTCTGTGGCTATCACCTGTGCCTTGAATGCAGGAGGTGCTTGGACCATGGGCTTAGGGTACACAAGCCTAATGGTAGACACCTGGAGTATGGTGTGGGCATGCCTAAGTGGGCACACCTGAGATGACAGGCTGACCATATAAGGGCAACGTCACAGGGGACAGAGAGCGGTGGACAGCAGTGGAGAGACCATGGAAGAATCCCAGAGAAAGTCCGAGAAGGTAAAGATTTGCCAGGGGTGGGGAGGCTGGCAAGCCCCCTGCCTGCCCTGCACCTGCCTCTCTACGAATGGTGTAGAAAGGTCATTAAAAGCCTGAAAAAGCCACTGAGGGCCCCAGGACTCTCCTTTACTTGCTCCGCCCTACTGCTGCCTCATCTACAAGTATCCACTGGGTACAACAGCATTTCTCCTGGAGGTGGGATGTGTGTGTGTATGTGTGTGTGTGTTATTAAGCAAATTAAACAACGCATCTTTATTGAATGCATACTATGTGTCAGAGTCTATCATCAGAACTCTTTGAGTACAAGAATGAGCAAAATAAACATTTCTGCTGTCTTCTGGAGCTTAAAGTGTCAAACACGTGAATCAGGATGAAATAATCACACATGAGTATATGGCCACATATCTATATATAGCCCTGAAAGAAATGTAAAAGCATCCGAAGTTGGAGAAAAGGGAGCTGATTCAGTTGAAAAAACAAGGAAAACTTTTTGATATGATCTAAAGGAGGATTGGGCATTGGCTGTGTGAAGAAGCAAAAGGAGAAGTTCAGTGTAACAGGAAATCAGTGTGAAGATCATCTGAAACCGAGAAGTATGGTAGCTTTGAAAATTGAAAAGAGACATTATTTTTTTTAAAGGTTTATTTATTTATACAAGAACCGGGGTACAGGCCAGATGCATGGGAGGGCAAGAGAATTCACCAGAGACAGAGCAGTGACAGAACAGGCAGACTGACAAAATACACTGCTGAGGGGAGCAGCGGGCAAGACAGGAGAGGTCTGCCGCACCATGTGGGACCCTCACCACCGGCCGGGATCGAACCAGCTCTGCAAAGGCTGCGGACAGCTTCACGGCGGGGCGATCAACCGCCTGCACCACCGAAAAGGGGGGGCCCCCGAAAAGAGACATTATTGAGGTCAGAGTACAGAAAAAGCTATGGTTGGGTAACCTTTTTCAAAGGTTTAAAATACCTAAAGACTTGTGTATTGTCCTATTTGCATCAGTGAATGGGAAACATTAACATACACATTTTCATATACAATAATCAGCATGTTAAGGAAGCTCAATAGCTCACTTCATTCTGAAATTGCTCATTGGCAGGTGAAGAACTAACTAGGGAAACATGTAGCTACCCTCAGGGAGCAGAGAAATAAAGAGAAAAGTAGGGAGATTGCATGGAAAATGACTTGCATGTTGGTTAGGAAATTTCTAACTATTTTTTTTAATATGAATTTGAGGTGCAAATCCTGCAAGTTGAATTTCTCCTCTGGTCAGCCCTCACATACTAAAGTGACGTTACAGAATCTAAGATACACCTGATGGGCCTCCCCAGTAGCGCAGTGGTTGAGCGCTGGGTTGCGAAGCTGCCCGCGGCCTCTGCGGCGCCGGTTCGATCCCCGGCTGCTCCCCGGCCACCGGAGGAGGGTCCCACATGGCGCACAGACCTCTCCTGCCGCCCGCTGCTCCCCTCAGCAGTGTACTTCAGTCCTTCTGCCTGCTCTGCTCCCGGCTCTGGCTCTGGTGAATTCTCTCACCCTCCCGCGCTTCTGACTGTACCCATTGCATGTATAAACAAAACCAAACAAACGAACAAATAAATAAATAAATAAAACATGCCTCTATTTAAAAAAAAAAAAAAAACTAAGATACACCTGACACTCCACAGCAACCAAATTATAGGCATTACTAATAGAGGTTATGTTGCTATGTAAATACCACAGCTACAAAAAAACAGGTACTATTTTGAGGGTTTGCTATGTACCAATCATTGCTATGTTTTATAAATGTAATTTCTTTTAATTTTAATAATCACTGTTACTCCTATTTTACAGATACAGAAACCTCAGGCTCAAAGAGATGAGTTACCCAAACTCACAAAGCTAGTAGGTCTTGCCTAAAGTCCGTGTACTAAATTTGCACTGCCCCGTAGGGTAACCCTTAATCACATGTGGCTATTTAAGTATGTATTACATGCATTAAATACAATTTCTCCATCATAGCTCAGGGGCGCCATAGCTCCATGTAATTAGTGGCTGCCATATTGGATGGAGCAGGTATCAAATATTTTATCATCAAAAAAATTTCTATTTGAGGGGCCTCCCTGGTGGCACAAGGAGTTAAGAAGCAACCTATGAAGCTATTTGTAGCCACTGCAGCATGAGTTCGATCCCTGGCCAGGGAGCTACCCACATGGCGCAGCAGACCTCTCCTGACTTACCCGTTACTCCCCTCAGCAGTGTATTTCAGTCAATCCGCCTGTTCTGTCTCTGGTGAATTCTGTCACCCTCCACCACATCTCTGGCCTATACCCCAGTTCTTGTATGCATAAATAAACTTAAAAAAAATTTTAATTTCTATTTGATATTGATGCTCAATCACCCTGTTATATTATTGGAAAGTCTGTCTACCTCATCATTTGTCAGGTTAATTGACATGTGAACAGCTAATCATGGGTAACATCTCTCCCTTGCGGCTCACCTTGCGACAGGTCCAGAGAAAGCTGAGCAGATCCCCCTGGGCCACATCCTCCAACACCATGTAGAGCGGCAGCCTTTCTGTGCAGCAGCCTTCCAGCTGAACCACATTCTTATGCTTCCCCAGGTACTGATGGAAGTGGATTTGCCCTAGGAAATCCTGCACCTCGGGGAGCCCAGCTGGTTCTGTGGAGGACAGAAAAGCCATGAGTAGTCAGAGCATCACCAATAAAAAGGGAGGCATGAGACAGGAAGCACCCTCAGATTATAAGTCTCAAGGCCCACAGTGGAGTGAAAATAGACAAAAAGTAAATGGAAAGGGGACCTCCATGTCCATGATCTTTTATCCAAAGTAATATTATAGGCTCCCATCTGCCAAAAAAAAAAAAAAAAAAAAAAAAAAAAAAAAACCCACAAAAAACTAGGTTTCTATTTACATTATAATAATATTAGGCCTTTTGATTAATATTCTTGCTTATCCTTGTTCTCTTTATGTATCCACCATTACTGGCTCAAGTCTTGAGTATCAGCAGAAAAAAGAGAACTACAGTCCCAGAGAAAGCTATCAAATAATGAAGAAAAATGAAAGACAACCTCAAAACCCTAATGCAAGGGATATTCTGTTTGGAAAAATCAGTCCTAACAACCTCAGTAGTCAAGATAAAGCTGGGAAAAGGCCCCAAAAAGAACAGTTCTGTTTCAAGCCTTTTACTTTCTGTCCCTTTCTTATCCTATACACAATTGTGATCACATCTGTTAAAAACATCTTAGTGTCTGCAAAGCCTGTTAGCATTCACTTTTAGAGATTCACTGTCGAAAGTCTAACACAGCATTTACCTTTTAAAGTCTTGAGGACAACACTCTTGGGCTTAGCAGCATCACCGGTGTTCATCTTGGTTCGATAGATAACCCCAAAACTACCGTTCTGGATCTGTTCCAGCTCTTCAGAGAGTTGCTCCCGGGGCACCTGTAGCTTAGCCAGAGTACGTGTGGAAGCCTGTAGAAGGCTTTCCACTGACCTCTCCTTAAGTGGCACAAACACATTTCCTCCAGGTCCTGCTGCTTCACATCTTAGGCCAATCGATGGAGGTGTGGGGGTAATGCCTAGTACAAGAGATGATACCAAACTGTTTACCCTATGCTAGGGATTCTGGGAAAGCAGAATCTGGAATAAACTGGCAAGCAAGTTCCTCTAGCAGTTTCCTTTCTGACCAATGTGTGAATTCTTTCTGATGTTTCTCTATGAAACACTGTCGACACCAACCTCATAGAGCTATTTTAATACACCACCAAGTCTAAGAAAAGTCAAGATGGGCTTCTGGAAAGTGGTAATGACATTTCCTTTCTATCTCCTTCAGTATTATAGTTAAGTATGTGTATAATAAGGAGATAATTAGGAAGTTCCTGAATAGGTGCCTAAACCACAAATACTTAAAGGTGCTGGTAACTGCCCGTGGGAATCATCATTTAATCAACCAAATTGTTTCCAAAGGTAGAGGGGAGGTATGGATAACTACCCTGAGCTAAAGCTATTCTTTCACCATCAGTTTCATATCACTGCCAGGATTGTTTTCTTTCTTCTTACCCTTAGTTTCATGTAAGACCTTATTCTCTTTCATTATATGCTCAGTAGTAGTCCAGAACAGCATGTTGTTACCTCCTCCTTACCCTTCAAAGACTATTATGAAGACTATACCTTTTTGTCATACATTCTAGGAATACTGATTAGAACTGGAATGTATTATAGAATAAATTGTCTTTCTTCAAGGCTGGTAACAAAACCTTCAGCTTCGCCCACTAGATCTTCCTCCACACTCCTATTCACTTGACCAAAGATTTGATAATGCAAATTGGACATGTGTCAGAAACAAGTCACATGAGACTTCTCTTCCTTACTCTTCTTTCAGCTAACAAGCGTACATCAAGTTTCTATTCATGGCTTCCTAGTGAAGACCGCATCCCCTCTCGATTCCATACCTCTCCTATTGCAAGGACCCAGACCTCTTGACTTAGGACCATTAAAATTTACAACTTATTTTCCACAATCCCTATCTTCCCCGAGCCTCTGCCCAGCCCAGGTTCCAACTTTACCTGGGAATCCAGAAGACTGCTGTTGGGCTCTTTGTCCTCTGATGAAAAGCCACAGGATGACCCCAAGAAGGATGAAGAAGATGCCAACCAGCAGGGTTGGGATGATAATGATTTCATACTGTTGATTCTGGATAACTGGGTAGAAAATCAAGCAAGAAGAGAATGAATAAGAAACCTAAAATGAGAGCCACACAACATTCCCTACCCCCTAGTTCCCAGCTTGTCCTATGCGAAATAATCATCTCTTCTTTCTTCCCCTTTACTTACATTCAATGGAACCACTCCTGGGAGCATCTCTCTACTCAGAAACCCCAGTGTCCCTTTTTCTTAGCCCCTCACATGTGCTCTCCTGGCATTTTCTTAGCCCATCACATGTGCACTCCTGGCATGGGCTGCACATCTGAAATTCTGATTGGCACTTGCCCTCCCCTCCTTCAAAGATCATGGCCTCTAGTACCCTTTCTTTTATCACCACTATTTCATTTCTATTAGAAATCCAGTCATCTTCCTTCTAGAATCTCTTCCACTCTTGGCCTCTGTGGTGGCAGGAATGGACACAGTGCAGGTTTTCTATGATCCAGCAGACCAGGTAAAGGAGGAGTCAGAGTTCAGTGGTTTTTGCAGGTTTTTATTATGATTTTCCAGGTATACGGCAGGCAGGGGTGCTGGGGGGCTGGGGGGCTGGCAGGCCCCCCAGCCCCCAGCAGATCTTCACTCTGGGCTCTTCGGCATTCTCTCGGCTTCTGCTTCTCTCGCTTCTCCTCAACTTCTGCTGCTTTTCTCGACTTCTCTTTGGCTTCTCTTTCAGCTTCTACTGGCGTCCCCATGACGCTGCCCTTAAAAGCACAGTTAAGACTGTGCCCAGGTGAATCCCATCTACCTATGCCCACACCCTACTCCAGGTGCCTACCACCACGCATGCATTCAGGACCGCAGGGATCCATCATCTATCCTGATGGCGGGAGGGGAGGGCAGAAAAGCCTGATAACTTTTACCTTACCCTACAGCCTCCCTCATCCTAAAATCAAGCTAGACATCTGTGGTTTTGTACCTACCACACAACTTGTCACTGAGGCTGCATCCCAGGAGCTCTCGTCCCATGCCCCTCCCATCTGCCATCACCACGCAGCTGTCCACGCTGTGCTTGATCCACAGGAATGCAGGGCACAGGTGAGAAAAATTCCCAAGGATTAAGTTGTTCTAAAAAAATATAAGGAAGCATACACAGAATTTTAAAACACCTACACAGTGATTGGTTATTAGTCACATGGCTCTCTGGAATTCTCAGAGCCATCCATCCATCCATCCATCCATCTCTTTCATCTGCTTGGTCTTCAGGCTGGAAGAACTTCTTCCTGGCATTTTTCCTTTCT